TTTTAGTATATTGTTTTACCATATGCATTGCATCCACCGTCGAACTGATTTTTCAATAAAGAGATAAAATGACTAAATGATGTTCCAATCATTCTTTCGATAGAATTATTGAAATTAGCTAAGGTATTATTTCTCTATCATATGAATATGTATCTATGTGTATGGAATTAGAGATATCATAATTAATCCTAAACTTTTATTTCAATCTTTTAATGAAAGTTGATCTCAAATTTCACATACGCATATTAAACTTAGTAATGGAAAAACATGTAAGCGCATTGATAATAATAAGGAATTCTATTTTTATAAAGCTAAGAAAAAGCATGTATATAGGAATGAAAGAAAAACATCCTGTCTTTATTCTTTACAACCATCAATAATACATTTTGTGCGCATTAGTTGGTTGGAATTGAATGATGAAAATGAATGTAATGACATGGTAAATGCTTGTCTCAACAATGTTTTTCCTATATATGGTCCTTTTCAATTATTTCCATTAGATGTATATGAAATAAGAAAACTATTTGTATTTATATATGATACCCTTTCTATGTAATTTGTATATCTATATATAGCAGAATTTATTGTTTTGTTAAAAAACAAAATTGATTGTTTTTATTTGATTTTTTCCTTCTAATTTGTATCTTTTTATTTGCTAATGCCTAACGAGTTTGCATGCTTATTGCTATCATTTTCAGCATACAGAAGATGGTTTCTCAGTAAAGAACTGATCAGATAGGTAAACTTCAGATCCTGATACTTTTTTAGCTCATTTTGCATTTGGTTATTTTCCCCTACCTTGTAAGTAGTTTGTGATGTAAAAATGTGCTGGATAGTTTTCAGGTAATTTCTGAATCATTTGCAATTTTGTGTGCTCTGTCCTTTGGCTTCTTTGTTTTTACAATTCCAAAATGTAATTTTTAAATCAAAGCATTTGCAAGTAAATCTATAATATTTATATTATGTCATTTTAACATTTTACGTATTATCTATTTAATTGGAGTGTAAGAGTGAAGAGGGTGACAGTAGCTATATTTTTGGTTTTAATGGTTTTGGTTATCAAAGCTCACAAGAAATATTCTAACTTTGTAATGATGGCAGGTGGCAGTGGCGACCGAGAGGCAGTGGTGACCGTGTTCTAGATCCGGGACTCGGGTTGAATATACTAGAGGGAAGGATCAAAATGTAATGATTTTACAATTTTGGATTGTTGTTGTAATTTGTAAAATGTATCATTATGATTTATGAGTAGTTTTGACGTTCATTGTAATTTATAAAAAAAGTTTGTCTTATATTGTAATTTATAAAAGGTTCTGTCATTTATTATAATTTATAAAAAGTTTTATCCTTTAATGCAATTTATAAAAGATTTATTCCTTATTGTAATAAAATTTTGAAATTTATTGTAATTTATAAAAAAATAGAATTTTCTTGTAATTTTGATTTTAAAATTTTTAATTAAATATTAAAAATTTTCAATAAAGACATTGTGACGATATTATTTTTGTCATTTATACAATAAAATTATTATATTATTGGTGACGATATAAATAATTATTAACAAAATTTCAAATTATTTGATGACATAATTAATTGTCACTAAATACAAATTATAAAGTAACGTTATTCATTAATGTCACAATATGTTTAACAATATGTGACGAAAAATATATACATCGTCACGTTTGAAATTTAGTGACACACTTAGGGTGACATTCGTCGTGACGTAAACTTTACGTCGTAAAATACAATTAGTGACATAAATACAAGTTTCAGTGACAATTTTAGATGCCACAAATAAGCAAATTTGGTGTAGTGATAATAAATAGTCGAAAGACTCAAAAAATACCATCTTATAATTGAGAGACTATTATGTACTTTAACCTTAAAAATAATGTATGACCCAAAGTATCACAAAGTAAGTTAATAGACATACATTTCAATGTCTAATGAACGTAGTATTTTAGTGAGAGATTTTGCTCTCCCTTATCTCTAGGTTTTCTTCTTTGTGATGGGTCAATGGTCGGTTTCAATGGTTTCTTCCATGGTTTTCTATGGATCCCTGGTTCTCGAGATCCTTTTTTGGAGCTCAAAACGATCATGTTTACTCAAAGTTCGGTCGATTATTCATCAAGTTCCTAGATTATTAGGATTTGATAGTTGTTCTATAGTCAAAAGTCTTTCTCGTGTTCTTCTTTAGCGAGGAAGTTGAAGGTAAAAGTTGTCTTTGTTATCATTGTAGTCTCTTACCCGAGATTTATGTTTTGCAGGATCTTCTTAAGGGATGTTGGCGATGGAATGATGTTGAGAGAGGGAATGTAGCTTATGGGAACATTCGATATTGGTTTGCTGGGAAGGGGATCTTTAAGGAAGAAGAGGAAGTGTGGAAGAAGGAATGGGGAGGGTTTCGGTGTACGTGAGGTATGGGAAAATTGGTAACAGGTAAAGAATTCGGGTGTAGTTTCGAGCTGAAAAGAAGTAAGTTTCGATCAAGGGAAAGAAGAAGATGATCGGAGCCGGGTTTCCAAAAGCACAAGGGGAGAAATTGGAAATATTAGAGGACATTACAAGTAATTACTGTTAGTGTACAGAATCACAACCAGATTTGGGGGGTGGTTTGTTAAAGTTCACAGGACATTAAAGGAGATAGCGTGGGGTGGTTTGAGTTTGAGGTGAATTGTTGTGGAAGGAATCATCATTCAAGGGAAGTTTGAAAATTTTTGTTTGAAGAGTCAAATCAAGAACCCATCATTGTTTGGATATTAGGTTGGATTCGGAGATCTCTTTGGAAGTATTTTAAATGGATGTATCTAAGGAGATTCAAGTATGATATAGGGTCTTGTCATGTGGGAGAAAAATTTTATTATTTGTTTCGTTGGAAGCATAATGTTCAGCATGAAGGTATTTCTCAATATAGTATGGGGCTAGACTACTCGATATACTGTTTGGTACAGACAGCAGGTGAGATTAGCTGGGATCAGGTATGGGGCGGGTGTTTGAAGTCATATCGAGCAGAGCAGGTTGAAAGTTGTGGCGGCTACAGTACGGACAGGTCATGCGATCACTGTACGGACATGTCTAAAGGTTGGAAAATATGTGGGAGATTGATTGTTTTTGGGGAAATGGTTTATTCATATATGTCTATGTTGGGTGATATAATAGTTATATATCTTATTTTAAAGAGTCTATTTAGAGTAGGTAGAGGGTGTAAGAGGGGAAAGTCACATCGGAGAGCTCATAGTCAATTCGGTGGGGTTGTTAGACGGAAAAGGGAAAGAAGGTTACGGGGAGAGAAGGTTGTTCTTTCCTACTACACTCGCTATAGAAAGTTTTATGCCATTATCTTTGTTCTTCGAAGTAACTCTAACAAAAAGGGAGCAGTAGTGGTAATTTATTTTCTCACTCGTTTTCTCATTCTACTATCACAATGTCTGAAGAGGTTGCGGATCTTATGAAGCATTTGTGATTCACTGAAGAGGAACCGGAGGATATCTCTCCACCAAGGGTTATTACTGAAGATGACGTGGTGGAAATGGATAAATGGATCGTAGCAAAGATAATTGGATTTAAGAGAGTGGATAGTGAGGTTGTGTTGAGGGTCTTTCGTTTGATTTGGGGCCATGCTAGACTCATGGACTCAAGCATTTTGAAAGATAATATGTTCGTGTTTAAGTTCAAAACGCTCTCGAATAAGCAAGCGATTTTGAAACGTACCCCATGGAGTTTTGAAGGAACTCTTTTTGCAATTGCTCACTTTGATCCTACTTTAAGTCTTGAAGAATTCGATTTTAGGCCCCTTGTTGTGTGGGTTAGAATTTATGAGCTCCCTTTGGGGTTAATGAGGATTGAGACAGCAGAAAAGATCGGTAATAAGATTGGAAAGACCATTGCTACCGATACAAGGTCAGGAGAAGGAAGAATGGGCGACTACCTTCGCGTAAGGGTGGAAATTGATTGCACCAAGCCGTTACGTAGATGTGCCAAGATGGGGGTGCTTGCTAATGGGCAACTAAGGAAATGCTTACTAAAGTATGAACGACTGCCGGCATTTTGTCATAGATGTGGTGTTATTGGCCATGTGCTTACGGAATGTCCGGGTTTTTCGGAGCATCTACAGCAGCCGCTCCAGTTCGGAGAATGGCTCAGAGTGTCGCCTATGAAGCGGGCAGAAGTTAGCAGCAATAGAAGAAGAGAAGGGATTATTTATGTTGAAGGGGAAAATGATGATAGGTCGAGGACAAGTTCGGCGAATAGTCCGCTATCGAATCGTGTTGTAAGGAGTCCCCGAGATAGACAGTGGTTGCTAGGAAGAGATCTGCTACATTCTTCCAACTCTAATCAGGAGGATAACTCTGATCCGAATGAACCCACAGGATCGGATAACTCCCTTCCTCGAACGTTTCTGGAGGTATTTATGGTTTGTGAGCGCGAGTTTTTGGAGGAGCAGCAGTCGGACCAAGAACCAAGTGTGAGGGCCATAGTAGGTTCATCTAGCTCAGGAAAAAAAAGAACGGGGAGCCGAGTAAAGGGAAAAGAAAGATTAAAAGGGTGAACCAGCAGACGGTGCATATTTCTGACTTTACTTTAAATTCTAAAGTAGGTGTTAGTGTGGAGGAGGACCCAAGCGAATTACCAGAGGAAGATGCGGGAGTTGCTTTAGTTACGACGGAGGCTGAGGTTCAGCCCCACCACGAGCCATGACGATCCTGTGCTAGAACTGTCGGGGGCTTGGGAACCCTGCGACAGTTCGAGAGCTTAGGAGATTGATCTCCGAAAAGGACCCAATATTGATTTTTGTTTATGAAACTAAGTTGCGGAAAAATAAGACGGAGGCTATAAGACTAGCTACAAAGATGTTTGGCTGTTTTTCATTGGAAAGAAGGGAGGATTGCGTGGGCTTAATGATGCTTTGGAATGAGGGTTTTGATGTCTCGCTTCAAAGCTTCTCCAATTTGCATATTGATGTGAAAGTTCTATGGATGGAGCAGAAATTTTGATTTATGGGGTTTTATGGGCATAGTGCGTGGTCAGATAAAAAGCATAATTGTGAGGTGATTTCTCATTTGGCTTCTACCTCTTCACTTCCTTGGTGTTTGGGAGGAGATTTTAATGAAATTATTCATCCGGACGAGAAGAGAGGAGGTCAGAAACCGGTGAGGTTTCATATGGAGGAGTTCCAACATTGTCTTCGTGGAGCCGATTTGTGGGACATTCGACCTAAGATTGGATGGTTTTCTTGGGCAAGTGGTACTCGAGCTAAGTCGTTTGTGTACGAGAGAATTGACAGATTTGTTGCGAAAAATGACTGGCGGCTCTTGTTTTCGGAGTGTTATGTGGAAACGATTCCGACGGCTTTGTCCGACCATTCTACGATCTCGTTGAGCTTGGATGGTGCTATCACGAGTTGCTCTCCTATGAAGGACTATTTTAAATTTGATGTATGTTGGGCTAATGAAGATCAATGCCGGAATATTGTGCATCGGGTTTGGGAGAATAATGAAGATTCTTTCTCGGTTAAAGTGGGAAAGATAGGGGTTAAGCTTGGTGATTGGCAAAGAGCGAGAAGAAGTCAAGCAAGAGGGACGAGAGGCGCTTAAGGAGTAAGATTCTTAGGCTTGATTCGGGTATGGTTTCTGATGAGTCTTGTGAACAACGTAGGAAAGCACTTGTGGATCTTAAGGATATTATGGATAAAGATGAGAAGTTTTGGCTTCAAAGATCCCGTGTTGCGTGGCTTAAGGATGGGGATCGTAATTCTTCTTTTTTCCATGCAAGAGCTAATGGCCGACACAAAAAGAATTGGATCGAGGGGTTGGAGAGTGAAGGGGGGGTTGGTGTGACAAGCTGGAGGACATTTTTTGTGTTGCTACAAACTACTTTTCCTCTCTCTTTCGTTCTTCCGAAGAGGCTCCCGACGAGGAGATTCTTCAAGCCATTGTTCGATGTGTTTTGCCTAGTGATAATGAGTTGATTTGCCGAGACTTCTCTGCCGAGGAGGTCACCATTGCTTTTTCTCAAGTTAATCCCTCGAAAGCTCCAGGATTCGATGGCCTTTCAGGTCAATTTTTTCGTTATTTTTGGAATATTGTTGGATGTGATTTTGTTAATCTTTGTCTTAGCCTTTTGAATGCTACGATGGATTTTAATTATGTTAACCGTACTATTATTGTTCTTATTCCCAAGGTTACTAGTCCAAAATTAATGAAGCAATTTAGACCGATTAGCTTATGCTCAGTCATCTATAAAGTTGTGTCAAAAGCTATTGTTAACCGCCTTAAACCATTGATGCATGTTTGTATTGTCGAAAACCAATGCGCGTTTGTCCCTGGTCGTCGTATCTCCGACAATTTTTTAGTGGCTCATGAACTTATCCATTATCTTAAGGGGTCTAAAAATGGCCCTAATAAGGGCGCTGCTATTAAGTTAGATATGGAGAAAGCTTATGATAGAGTGGAATGGGGATTTTTGTTGGATGTTATGCTTTGTATGGGTTTTAGTTGTTCCTTTGTCAATCTTATTCGAAAGTGTATTTCCACGGTCTCTTTCCAAGTGCGTATTAATGGTGTGTTATCTGACTCTTTCATTCCTCAGAGGGGTCTCCGACAAGGAGATCCCTTATCTCCATATCTATTTCTGTTTTGCGCTCAGGGACTTTCTGCTTTACTTCTTAAGGCCCAAAGGAGGAATGAGATTAAGGGCATTAGAGCGAGCATGAGAGGGCTGAGGATTACTCATTTGCTGTATGCAGATGATAGTTTGTTGTTCGTGAAGAATTCGGTTGCGGAGGTGCACAAAGTAAAGAGTATGTTGGCCCAGTATGAGAAGACTTCAGGGCAGAAGGTGAACTATGAGAAGTCCAGCATTTTCTTCAGCCCGAATACCCCCGGTGTGGATAGGAGGATCTTCTTAAGTGAGTTAGGAGTCGTTGAGGCCCCGGACCCGGGGAATTACCTTGGTCTTCCTCTTGCAGTAGGGAAAGGCAAATGGGTGGCTTTCAATTTTATCAGAGATAAGACAGAGAAGAGGATTCAAGGATAGACTAATAGACTCATTTCTTTTGGAGGAAGAGAAATCTTCATCAAGTCTGTGGTTCAGGTTCTTCCCGCATATGCCATGACATGTTATCTTCTCCGGGAGGGTGTTATTGATGATATTAAGTCTCAAGCTAGATCTTATTGGTGGTCTGGAAAACAGAATACCAGAGGTTGGGCGATGGTTGCATGGGATAAGATTTGTCGTTCCAAAAAATTTGGAGGGATGGGCTTCAGGGACCTTAGTCTGTTTAATGTTGCGCTTCTTGGGAATCAGATTTGGAGACTTATTCAGGATGAACATTCTTTGGTTTTCAAGGTCCTTAAAGCTAAATACTTCTTGCGCTCTTCATTTTTTGAGGCAAAACTTGGGGCTAGATATTCTTATGCTTGGGCGAGTCTCATGAAGGCCAAAGAAGTGCTCAATGATGGTTTTTTCTGAAGAGTGGGCATGAAGAGCAAGGCTCGTATGTTCGAGGATAAATGAGGGGACTCTTGCCCTATTCATTGGAACAAAAGATATATGGATCATGCTGAACAGCTTGTTAGAGTTGCGGATTTTATGATTCCAGGGTGTGCGAGGTGGGATGAACATAAGGTGGTTAGAGTGCTACGGATGGAGGATGCATCGCAAGTTCTTAATACGTTGATTGCTCCAACCTGGGGTGATAGATTACTGTGGGTCCATCATAGTTCGGGATGTTATTCTGCTAAGTCGAACTATAATAGGTTGAAAATTCAAAATAGCCCGTCTTTGATTGCGGAAGGCATTTGGAACGATGTGGCTAAAGCGAAGGTTCTCCTAAAAATCAGAATTTTTGGTTGGCGCATTTGTCATGAAGCCATTCCCGTGAGATCCAAAATTAAACAAGAAAAACTTGGAGATGGCGTTTGCCCTCTTTGTCTTAGTGATCTGGAATCGATTATGCATGCGATTAAAGATTGCCCCAAATCAAAGACGGTTCTTTTATTGTCGGGTCTTCCCCCCGAGATTGTTGATTGGTGTGGAAACTCTCCTCTCCTTTAGTTGTCATTTGTTAAGTCCAAGATGAATGGTGAAGGATTTGATTTGTTTCTTGCTTTGCTTTGGAACATTTGGAACCGACGCAATAATTTTTGTTCATAATGGGGAATTGTAATCGGATAGGGACATCATTATCAATTCTTCGAATTTGATTGGGGAGTATAAACTTGCTTCAAATCCTATATGGAGTTCAAATGATGATTTAGTTCTTCGAAGACCGCGTTTCTGGAGTAAGCCTACCCAGGATGAGGTTAAAATTAATGTTAATGGGGCTTATTGTAAGGTTTCTCGAGTTGCGGCGGTTGGCATAGTGGCTCAGGATTCGCATAGAATGGTTATCGGGGGAATGGATAAGAAGATTGATCCTCCGTTTACGGCCGAGTCCACTGAAGCAGTTGCTTTTGCTGAGGGTATTCACTTCGCTTCCGAGAACGGTTTGAACAATGTTATTATCGAAGGCGATGCCATTTCGATTGTTTACAGGTTGTCTAATCAGGTCACTAAAAAGACCCAGGACATCTCTACAATTGGATTGTTGCTCAATGAGGCAAGACTGATTTTAGCTGACCTCCCTTCTTTTAAAGTGCACTATGTGTGTAGGGAAGCTAACCATGTTGCCCATTCTTTAGCTTAATGGGCCTTATCAACCACAATCCAATTTGGTTTTTCTTGGATGAACCTGATTGTATTAAGCAATTTGTAATTGATGATGCTATTGGAATATAAGCTTTTATTCCTTCAAAAAAAATAAGTTAATAGACGAAAATAAAAGATAAGGACCTTATGTAAACATAGGCCCGCTATAAGAATAAATTATTATACTCTAAATGATGGTTCTAAAACTCCATTAGATTTAAAACGGGTTGATCTAAGTGGTAAGTAATTTGATGTCGCTTAAGTAAGTTTTGAATTCAAGTCATTGTGTATGCAGAAAATTTTCGTTGGGAGACTCACCTGCCACAACCAGATATACGACTTGGATTGATTCAAATTAATCAAGGCAAAACATTGGAAATCAGAAGAGTAAAAAAAATACTCCATTAAGTATGTTACATCCCTAACTCTAACATAAAATCTAACAATCTACTCACAAATAATGTTGAGCATTATAAAATTTAGTGGTGCAAAATTACTTTACTATACTACAGGAATTATATAAACATAGTAGACAAATTTTATCATATAACATGCAATTTTGCCATTTATTATAACGTTGAATACAAACAAGTCATCAATTTACCATAACTATAATGAAAGTTTACTACTATAAGTGTGTTGAAAACATTTTGATGTTTTGATATAACAAATTAAATGTTATTGGATTTCAAGATTTTCTAATCATTTTCAAATATATATTCGATCAATCTATTCGAATATCAAAATATTACTCCAAGTTTTTTCAAAATGTCTATTTAAAATCCTTACTCAAGTGTAAAAATGTGTTTTAATCTTTTAAACAATTTTACAAAGTATTTCAAGCCTTAATCGAGCCAAAAGTATTTTCTTAATAAATCTTAAACTGAAAAACCAGATTGCCCAGATGGTACTGATACCCGCCAATGAGGGCACCGATACCCCCATGTAAGATTTGGCTCCGAGAAATAACAGATTGCTCGGAGGGTACCGATACCTCCCAGGAGGTACCGATACCCCCTATCTCATAACGGTTCGAAATATTTAAATTTTACACAGCAAGGAACCGATACCCTATGCAGGGGTACCGATACCCCCCAATGCTCCAAGTTGTTTTATTAATTGTTTTCACACACTAACGGCTCTATTAACTCCACTAATGATCCCCAATGTTTAGAAATGATCCAAGGATTATTTAAACAAGATTAGAAGCCATTGATCAACAACAAGAAACAACAATCAACAAGAATTGAGAGAGAATCAAAGAGAAAACATCAAACTCATTGTTTGAGCACTTCAAACCTATTTTCCATTCAATATTCATTTTGCTTTCAAGAACACCACTTGTACTCAATTGTATTCATTCTTGAGTGTTCTTTCTTTGTTCTAGAATTGTGTAAACAATCTACCTTGTGAGGTTTTCCTTGTAAGTTTACAAATTTGTGTATTTCTCTTTGAAAAAGAGTGTGCTCAAGAATTTGAGGTATAATTCTTGAGGGAGTTATAAGATTACTCTTTGTCCTGAAAAGAAAGAACAAATTAGTAAATTTGTTGGAAAATCCTTAGTGTGGATAGCTAAGGTAGTGGACGTAGACTTTGGTTGAGAAAGTCGAACCACTTTAAATCGATGTGCAAATATTTTCAATTTTCTGCAAAAACTTCCACCGAAATTTTTATTGCCAATTCACCCCCTCTTGGCATATTTCGTCAATCGATTAACTCAACAATTGGTATCAGAGCCTCACTTATTTGAAGGTTTAACCACCTCTTGAATCAATTCAGGAAGAGTTAAATCGATAAAGATGGTGTCCACTTCCGGTTCATTCTCCATGGAAGAATCCAGACCAATTGACGTGCCTCCACACTTCAATGGAACAAATTATCGTCATTGAAAGAAGTTTATGATGATATTTATCCAAGCATTTGATATGGAAACTTGGATGATGATCGAGAAAGGATATTCTTCTCCTACGAAGAAGGCAAAGAAGTGGAGTAATCAAGAACGGAAGAAAGCTCAACAAAATACAAAGGCTATGCACATGTTGTGTTGTGCAATTGATCCTAATGTATATAAAGGAGTTTCTTCTTGTTCAAATGCTAAGGAGATGTGGGATAAGCTTGAGGAGATCTATAGAGACAAGAAAGAAGAAGAACCAATAAAGGTGATGTCTCTATTACATCTCATAGAGCCAAATGTATCTTCTAACTCAAATAGATTAAATTCAAAATCTTTTCATGAGTTATAAGATGCTTATGATGAATTATTTTCGGAGTTTGAGACCATGAACTCCAAAAACAATAAATTGATTTCTAAATTTATAGCTAAAATGATCTTCTTTTGAAAGCTAAAACTGATTTAGAAAATCAAAATGAAATGTTGAGAAATGAGTTAGAGCTTTCAAAAACGAAATCTGAAAACTTTGAAAGAGAAATTTTCAAATTAAACAAACTTCTTCTAGAAACGAAAATGGATTTTGAAAATCAAAATGAAATCTTGAATAAGGATTTAAAGATTTCAAAAATGAAATTTGAAAGTATTGAAAAAGAAAATTTCGATTTGAAAGTTAAGCTTGAATGCTTAACAAAAGAAAAAGAGATTTTTTTAAATAATTCATCTAGTTCAATAATGACAATATGTTCACATTGTCATTATCATGGTCATAAGGAACATACTTGTCCTTTAAAGAAAGGAAAACGATTTAAAATTAGACAATTATGGGTTCCAAAAGGAACAAGAGGCATCAAAACTAACATTCAAGGATCCAAAGCAATTTGGATACCAAAATCTACTTAAATTTATCTTGTAGGTGTGTGGGAGCAAATTGTGATGAAAATGACGATATTCAAGATGCTCTGGCCGCACATGAAAAATGAATGGCTAACCTCTAAACTTAATGTAATTATTTTATTTGGTTGCTCATTTAGTTTATGCATGCATGAGGTTTTAAATGTTGAATAATTCTAAATGATTATGTTTTATCTCATGTATGTTGAAAAATATTGTATGATGAACATAGTAATTTTTGGTAATGTTTTATAAACTCTAGTTCATCATATTAATTTTTGGTCAAAATTGTTTTTAAAATGTAATTGATATCTCTTTAACAATTGATATCGATTTTTCAAGAACTTTGGTTTTGCAAAATTTTGACCTTAAATTTTTCTTAATGTTTATGCATAGATCTTATTTTTTTAATAATATAAAGTTTTAATGTATAACATTTTCAAAAACTTTATTCATGTGTTCTTAATCTCGATAATCGACATTGTATAATGTTTTATTTGTGAAAGGGTTAAAAGCATAATCTTTTGAAAAATGAATTTGATAAAAGATACAATGTCTTATTTTAAATTAATGATTACAAAATTGATTGACATTGCATCCATTTTGATTATGCTTGTTGGTCATAAAATAGGGACATATATATGATGCATTTTGACTCTATAGATATGACTAATTTTTGCCTAGTTGCTAAGGATGAACATGATAGTTGGCTATGGCATAGGAGACTAGGACATGCTAGCATGAGTGTTTTACAATGACTAATTCAAGGAGATTTAATTTGAGGGTTGCCAAAGCTAATATTTGATAATGATAAAATCTGTGATGCTTGTGCTAAAGGAAAACAAAAGCGAATTTATTTTAAATCCATTAATGACATATCCACTAGTAGAGTACAATTGATACATATAGATCTTTTTGGGCCATCTAGGACTACAAGCTTGGGTGAAAACAATATGCATTTTTCTTGGTCGATGATATACTTGGGTTCTATTCTTAAGTA